ATTATTATCTATTAAACTTCATTTCAAGAAAGTCTCCAAGAATATGCTGTATTGATGTAGCCCTCTACATTGCATTGCAAGTGCTGAATAAGTAATTGCTGAATGAGTGATTTCCATATTATAAACAATATATGTAAATGGTAGAGGCAGGGCTTTACTATCCATCCATTAAGTATCAACATAAGAAAAATATTCCTCATTTGATAATTGTCTAGAGAGATGAAATAGCAGTAAGACCAAAGATCCACAAAGTTATTTCTCTTAACGCTACTCCCATCTAATATTTTCTTGCTTCTGATATTAAGGGAGCCCAGCAATTGATGTTTTAATAATTATTTCCAAAAATGCATTAAATTGCTTTCCAAGTCACCAAAGTGAGGCTTTCATTTTTTTGTTATTATTTTGAGTAACAATAAGTAGCTTATCCAATATCAGCTTCTGGTTTTATGTAACTTATTGTGAAAATAACATATTTATTATAGAATAATTAGAAAATACAGGGAATCAAATAGCAGAAACTCAAAATTATCTGTAATTTTATTTTCTAACACACCATTTTCTGAATTTGGGGGAGTTTTTTGGGGATTTTTTAATATCTGAAGTATTGTACTAACTGCTTTGTAACGTGCAGTTTTCTAACTACGTAATATTACAATAATTTTTACCTAACTATTTATACTAATTACAAAATAATATTAAATATCCCCTCTGTGGATCGATGATCAATGCAGCATCATTTAATGGACCAATCTCTAGTGGGTATCTAAGCTAGTTATTTCCTGTCTCTCACTATTATAAATGCTCTTGCAGTAAACCTTGGTAGTGATTAGGATTAGGGGTGTGTGTGTGTGTGTGTGTGTGTGTGTGACATAAAACACATACAAGTGGTTTATATCAGGTAAAAGCAGTTTATCTCTCTCTCACATGGAGGAGGCTCAAAGGTAGGTGCTCCAGGATTTAATGGTACTCAACAGTATTAGGAAGTCAGGTTCCATGTATCTTGTTGCTCTCCTTTGCGGAGTGTCTGTTCTCAAGGTCTTATCTTGGTCAAGGGTGGTTCTGGGGGGCTAGTTATTCAGTTACTGTTCTCCCCAGGAGGAAGGAGAGTCAGGGTGTGGGAGTAGTGAGAAGAAGTTTGACCATATACCTTGGGTAAATTTTCTTCTCGGGAAACTTCAAAAAAATACAGAGAACTCCTTAAAAAATATTATTTTTCATGCAGGTAAATCATTTGAGAGGAGGGTGGTGAGAAATCTGACCCTCATAAAATGCTATTGGCAGAACTGTCTTCCAGAATAAAAAAGCTTTGTTTTCTAAAGCACATTATACACATTCAAACCTGCTCTTCCCTACTCTCTGCACTGAGCCAGCTACTTGAGCCAGAGTCTGTGTGCGTTTATTTTAGTCTATATCACATGTTAAAATAAAAACCTGGAGTCACATTTCTTTGCATTTCAAGGGATCCAATACATATCCACTCAAATGAAGTTGTTTTCTTTAGCCTTTTTGGATTGGGAGCGTGTACCTAACATCTTCTGAGGAGATGGCATATTCTGTGGTTGGTAAATGCCACAGTTGCCCCATTCGTCAGAAAATAACACTGGGCATCAGTGAACATGAAAGAATCAGCAAAAGGAAGGGGGGTCTTAAGGTGAAGGATGGAAAGTTGGTATTAGTATTGGAGTGGTGTGTGAGTCTAGGCCTACGTATGATGTCAGCTTCGAAGGCATGCAGACGCTACCAGAAATACAGGAGCTTTAGGGTTTTTAGTCACTTCTTTAGAATGGCTCAGTTATTTTTCTAAGGAATAATGATGTAGGAGCATTAGAAGTGAACTGTGAATAATACAACTTTAGCAGGAATAGAATGAACATAGAATGGAGCTTCAGTGAAGGAGGAAACAGTGCCAAGTGTCAACAGAACATAAATAGTTATAGAAGAAAGTGTATGGCTTTGGAAAAAACTGACACTCTGTGGCAGGCAATCCAAATACAAGTTACAAAGTAGCCTGTGTTGTTTTACTCTAATGTGGAACTAGAACTCTTACCATTTCATGTAAGTCCATCTCCTGAAGGATTTACAAATAATGTGTTGCAAATAATTGCTGAACTCTTGGGACTGTCTGAGATTAAGGAATGTTTTTAAGTTACCCCATATTTATGCAAAACAAAGCTTTCTTGAACTCTGGGCAATTTTAAAAGAATGAAAACAAACTGGTACAGGTTTGTATATTTGGCTCATAATAGATTTTCAGTAAGATAGGATGAAGACCTAAAACCTTAAAACCAATTATATGAGATTCGGTGGATGATCATGTGGAAAGAGGGACCATGAAGGGTTTTTTATCAAATATTTGAAGAATTGAAAGGTTTCATGGGGAGCAGACACAGTTTTCTATATGAACTCACTCAGGTAGAGCAAGGACCAGTGGGTGTTAGCTCCAGTAAGATAGATTTTTTTTTTCTTTTAATTCAGCATAGCGACTTTTCTAACATTCAGAGCAATTCAAATTTAGATTAGGCTAGTTGAAGAGAAAAGTTATCAAAGATCCACAATAAAACAGTAGGAAGTAGTTTTTAAAAAACTATACCACTTATAATAGCAACAGAAAACATCAGACACACAAAAATAAATTTAACAAAAGATATGCAAGACCTCTACGTGAAAATGACAAAACATTGAAGAGGGGTATTTTAAGATCCAAAGAAATGGAGAGAGATTCCTTGTTCTTGGATTGAAAGGCTTGATATTGTGAAGGTGTTATCTCTCACCAAATTGATGTATATTCAGTGGTTATCCCAATGTAAATCCTAGCATTTTTTTTAACAAGCAGATCCTACAGTTGGAAATGCAAAGGGGTAAGGATAGTCAAGGAGTCTTGAAGAAGACCTAGATCGCAGATATCAGTACACTCATAAAATGAGAGTAATTAAAGCCTGTGGGTCGGTGTGAAGAGACCAGTGGAACAAGAGAATATTTGAAAACACATTTAGATTTATTTTTAAGCTGGCACTGCAGTACAGCAGGGAAAGGATGGTTGGTCTTTTTCATTAAATCATGGTTGGGCAATTAGAAGTCCATGTGGAAAAAAAACATGAATATTGATCTTTACCTCATACCATACACAAAAATAAATTTCAGATGGATTGTGATCTCAGCGTGAAAGGTAAAACAAAGTGTTCAGAGGAAAACAGAGGAGGCTATCTTCAGGACCTTGGGGTGAGCAAAGATTTCTTCAAAAGTACTATCCCTAAAAGAATAAATTTTACTACAATTAAGAACTTCTGTTTATCAAAAGGCCTTTTTAAGAGAGTAAAAAGAAGACACAGAGTGGGAGGAGATATAAATAATACATATTTTCAAGAAAGGATTCTTACCCAGAGTATAGATAGATAGATAGATAGATAGATAACTTCTACAAATCAGTAAGAAAAAGGCAAGATGACCTGATGGAAAAATGGGCATAAAATAGATAAGTACTTCACAAAAGAGGTTCTCCATATGACCGATGAACTTGCAAAAAGATTGTCAACTTTGGCATCAGACAAATGCAGTTGTAACCACAATATGAGGCCGTGACACCCGCACCGAAAGGGTCACAGTGAGCAGGAGAGCCGGTACCGCAGCTGATAAGAACGCGTGAGGAGCGTTTGCAACACTTGTGCTGTTAGTAGGTGTGTACTACACAGCTGTTTTGGAAAACTGGTGGAATTTGCTGAGGCTTAATGTACACAAACGTTATAACCACGAAGTCCCACTCTTCAGTATGTATGCAACAGAAAGGCATGCATATATTCAAGAAAAGATATGTACAAGAGCGTGCACAGCAACACTGTCGGTCTTGGCCAAAACTTAAGAACAACTCAAATGTCCGTCAGCTCCCAATTAATTGTGAAATATTCATAACAATGAAAAACCACACAGCAAAGAGCAGGTGAGCTACAACTACATACAGCGATGTGGATGAATCACACAGACGCTACTGAGAGAAAGAAGCCAGATACCAAGTTTCCATCAAGCTTACAGTTCAGAACCAGGGCAAAAGAAGCGAGGGTGTTCGAAGTCAGGGAGGTGGTTTCCTTGCTGGGTGGGGTGTGATTGGAGGGGGTTCTAGGTGTGCTGCCACCTTCAGTTCCTAGCTGAGCTGGTGGGCAGAGCGGAGAGTAAGTGTGGGGAGGTGCCTTCTTCTGATGGGCTTTGAGTAAGTAGTTTTCAGAAAAGATTTCCATTCTAAAGGATCCGATCTTACAGAGATAATGATGGACAAACTCTAAGTCAAGAGTCCCAAGGACAAAAAAAAACATTGGCGAGAAAACAGCTGTTTTAGACGAGCAGCAGGTAAACTAGGTTTGGATTCAGAAGAACTAGCAGATAAATAGAATATTCTGTAGTTTGAACTTTGATCTTCACAAGTGAAGAATGACAAAAGCATTTGCCTTTATGCAATTTTATTTTTATTTCAACAATTTCATATCCCCTTTCAAAAAAAGTAATTTGGCTATTTGAAAAATCGATGTGATTAGTAAATAGAAATTGGAAGAACAGAACAGGGCTGAAGTAAAAGGAGAGAACAGGTATGGTAACTACAGGGTAAACACAGCGGCTGGACTTGAGCCTGCAACTTGGCTCTTACTTTTAGGACATGCAAAGCCAAAAGGGAACCAAATATAATTTCGTAGGGTGAGAGTTATTTTCCTTGTCACTAAAGCTCGGGGGCAGATTTCTTATCTGAAGCATTAAAGGGGGAACGTTGAATGGTGTAATGATGCATGTCTTCAGTGGTGGGTGATGTGGCAAACATGTCAGTTAAACTTTAGGTTGTTTCTTATGGTGACTTTCAGTAAAGATGAACGAGAGTGTAATTATTCAATGAATGTAATGTTGAACCAATGCTTTACCTTGCTTCCATGCTACTCATTGTTTGGGGGGTGACACATGGCATTGGGGGCTTTTTTGGCTGCTTTTCAGAGAGTGAATTCCTGATTGTTTCTGTCAACCAGGTGCCCGGGAAGAACCCAGCGTACAGCAGGCACAGCGGCGGTCGGCGGTCTTTCTGTCCTTTAAGTCCCCGATTCCATGTCTGCCCTTGCGCTGGGAGCAGCAGAGCAAACTTCTCCCAACTGTAGCCGGCATCCCTGCCAGTAAAGTTTCCAAATGGAGCACAGATGAGGTATATTTTATTTTCTTGGTCTGCCAGGGGCCAGACGTAGGAGTACTGGCTTAAGGAGAGGGTAACATGAATGCGTATGGGATTGAGTCTTTTTCTTTCTGAAAGAGAATAACCTGTAGCATTTAGATTCCGGCTTTTTTTTTTTTGCGGTACGCAGGCCTCTCACTGCCGCTGCCTCTCCCGTTGCAGAGCACAGGCTCCGGACGCGCAGGCTCAGCGTCCATGGCTCACGGGCCCAGCCGCTCCGCGGCATGTGGGATCTTCCCGGACCGGGGCACGAACCCGTGTCCCCTGCGTCGGCAGGCGGACTCTCAACCACTGCGCCACCAGGGAAGCACCGGCTTCTTTTTTTAAACTGGAATTTTAATCATATTTTTAACAGGTGTCAGAGTTCATACAGAGCTTACCTGGATGTGAAGAACATGGAAAGGTATTTAAAGACGAAGTAAGTATTCCACTAAATTGCAGTATGTTACTTAAGGGGGGACAAAGCACTGAATGGCAGTGAATGGTGAAATGTTCTAAATTGGCAGAGAAAGGAAGAGACGGGTTATGTTGAAACTGACAAAGTGATATCCAGTTGTCTAACAAGCAGCATTAATCAGTTGTATAAAAATGTGTTTGTATAAAATTAGATGCAAAGGAAATTGTGCCATTTTATTGATGCCCCACAGCAGTAGCACTAAGCTCATTATTTAACAAAACAAACACAAAACTTAAAAACATGCATTTATATAGTGTATAGCACAGAAAGACACCAACGCAAGAAAGAAGCAACGTTTCATTTTTAATAAAGTAAACTTAGTTCCCATTGTTTTATTTTCAAACATCATTTTAACACCAAAATTAACTTCATTTGATGCTGATAATATTACCATTATTGCTAAAACAATCCCTTAGATCTTATACATTTCTCAGTGATGTTTATTCTAACTGATATTCATTACATCTATTACCGTCTGCTGTTGGAAGATGATTTTATTAGTTGTTTTCACCTGTCTGTCCAAAACTTCAGTATAAGGGATGATTAATAACGGTACCGCCTCAAGTGAGCATTAGGACAAAAAGGAATTCTACTTCTAACTACACTAGAAGCAGGAGACTCTTTTCACTAGAGACCTTTAAAAATAAGCCTGTCATCTCCTCCAAGCAGAACAGTCAGTTATCACCCTGATCTCAGAAGGTACAATGAGAACTAAATCATCTCAGAAGGCTTTGTTCAGCATCTGCTGTCTGCAGCTCTAAGATACCTTGTTTGCTCCTCTGCTTAGCCTCCACTGTTCAAACGGCACACTTTCAGTTAAGAACACTGCAAGAGTGTCGGCACAGCCAAGAATTGAGCCGCCAGTCGCCAATGTCATTATACTGTTAGGTATCATTTATGCTTATGTGGGTGCCTGTTAAAATGCACAAGGATCTGATTGTCATCAGCCCTTTTCTGATTTATGGTCTTACTTTCAGAAATGTTCTGTCTTCTTTCTAGTTGAAGGTCAAATTAAAGAATTTGCAGTTATTCAGATTTTGAGTTTCTTAAGGCCCAGGTCCTAGGTGTCTTTGTGGGTTACTCTCAGTCGATTTTCGATCCCTGAGCAGACTTAGATTCCTGTAGGGAGCTGTTGCTCTTTCTTTGAAAGAGCCATGTAGTAACATTACCTTTGAAAATGATGAAACAATTTTAAAAATAAATTTCTAGCACGTCTATTTTATAAATTCTACTTTTGGTTCTGTTGATATCTAGCTAGTCCATATAGATTTGCTCTGTTATTTAGGTTAAGTAAGATTCAAACTCAAATGATATGGTATTTCTTTGAATAACTTTTTCCTTCATATTATCTTTGGAGACACTCCCCAGGCACCTAATATCCTCAAAGACAGAGCCTTCTTTTGAAGAATGAGGCAATGAATGTTCTCTGTCAACATGTATCATTCATATGTTCATTCCACTATTCATTCACCCTGTGAAATCTTGTTAAATTCCTACCATGTGTATGATACTCCATGTAATGCTCTAGTAAGAGGGTTAATTCAGAGATAATAGGACATGATCCTTGCTCTCACATGTCTCACCAGGTCAGCAGGCGTGGGTTTTGAGTCCTAGATGAAAATGAGAAAACAAATCTAGCTAAAGTCTTGTAAGTCATCTCTAAAAGGCAAAGTGCAGGTGTGGGCTATTACTTGCAACCATCCCAGATGACTCTCTTACATACTCCGCATTTAATCTGTTGAAAACCCTATTGGATGTATTTTAAAAGCATTTAAGTGTTCCAGCTCCCTCTCCCCACTCCACCGCTACGTGTGGTCAGAGCCACCATCCTCTCCCTCCTGGATTAAAGCAATAACCTCCTAGCCGGCCTCCCCGCTTCTATTTCTGCTCCTCTATAATCTTTTTTTAAAATAGTATTTTATTTATTTATTTACTTTATTTTTGGCTGCGTTGGGTCTTCGTTGCTGCGCGCGGGACTTCTCTGGTTGTGGCGAGCGGGGGCAACTCTTTGTTGCCGTGCGCGGGCTTCTCATTGCAGTGGCTTCTCTTGTTGCGGAGCATGGGCTCTAGGCACGTGGGCTTCAGTAGTTGTGACTCGCAGGCTCTAGAGCGCAGGCTCAGTAGTTGTGGCGCACGGGCTCAGTAGTTGTGGCTCATGGGCTCTAGAGCGCAGGCTCAGTAGTTGTGGCGCACGGGCTTAGTTGCTCCACGGCATGTGAGATCTTCCCAGACCAGGGCTCGAACCCGTGTCCCCTGCATTAGCACTGCACCACCAGGGAAGCCCCTGCTCCTCTGTAATTTATTTCCAGCATAGCTGGGCTGATTCTGCTACAAGATAAAGTCAAATCATGTCACTCCTCTGTTCAGGTCTTTCCGGTAGTTAAATCAGAGCAAAAGCCAAGAGCCTCACAAGGGCGACAGTCGGACACCCCATCACCTCTCTCACCGCCTGACCTCTTCGTCCACTCTGTCCCCTGCTTACCCTGTTCCACACACAGACCTCCTTGCCATTCCTCAGATTATCCAGGTACACTCTGGCTGCCCCCTCTGCCTGGGATGCTCTTCCTCTAGGTGTTCACATAGCTTACTCCACTTCTCAATAGCTTACTCCACTTCTCAATATCCTATCCTGACTATCCTCCTTCAATCTGCCACCTGCCACCACACATCCATCCTGGCCCTACTGTCCACTCATCTCCCCGACTCGCAGTTTTTTCATACCACTAATCACCTTTTAGAATTAGTTACTAATTAATTTGCTTATTATGGTTTTTCTTATAGTCTGTCTCCTACTACTAAACCGTAAACTGTACAAGGAGTTTTTATTTGTTTGCTTAGTTTTGTTTTTATCTGTTTTAGTCTGAGCTATATGCCCAGGCCCAAGAATAATATCTAGACTCTAATGGGTATTTAATAAGTTTCTGTTGAATGAATAGACTCATACCTTTACACTCTGAGAAAGACATTCACAGAGCATATCGCTGTGACTTGCAGAGTTACAACACTGGAAAAGAACCATGAGTGCACAGTGGAAAGAGCAATGAAATGGAAGGCAAGAACCCCAAGTTCCAAATCCTCCAGAGTTTTGGGCCTTTAGCAAGATACTTAATCTCTGGAGCTAGACCAGTTTATATACATTACAGAAGCATAAACCAAAAATAAACCCAGCAATCCATTGCAGTAATTACTGTTTTCAGAAAGTACTTTCTTAAATTATTTACTTCTTTCCAGTTGAGGCTTATCCTTATGGCTACACATCAGAGCTGCTTGTATGTAATATACTAAAGTCTGGCTCTAGCCTCAAGATGACTTTTTTCTTCCCAGGTTAGCTTTAAAAATAATAATCTACCAAAACTTATCCTTCTCATCCCGCTCCTAGCTTTTAGACTCCAGCCTCGTTCTCTGCATGTTCCTTTTCATCAGTCATCTGTCACTTTAAATTCTTACTTAGTCCCAGAAGAAGACTCAGTAGGGCCCAAGGTTATAATAAACCATTCACTCTTTGTAGTGAGCTCCCTGGGAACCCGGTATGTTGACATTTTAGTTAATGTCTTAGACGACTTCTATCAGACCCTTCATTCTACCAAGGTCTGTCTGGGTTGAGTGAAGTGTTAGTAGATCTGCCTCTCTGCTTGGACTTGTTTATCAGAGACCTGTCTCAGCACAAGCAAATGAGACCAAAGCAAATGTTTCCAAAAAACAATAGAACATTTCTCATAGCTGCCACTTAACTTGTCTTACACTTAGAAATTAACACTGCAGTGTCTTTACTTCTAGTTTATGACAGCAGGGTGTTTCCTTGCTGAAAATTAGCAAACTCTTTCCACGTGATTGTTACTTAAAGTTGTATAAGATGACTCCTGTTCTTACTGATTAAGCGTATAAGCAATTTAGACTCACAGGTTTTTATTTTTAGAGGAAAGAGGAAAATTTCAAGAAACGGCAACTTAATTACATTAATTAGGCTTTATTTAGTGAACTGCTGACAGAATTTATAGTAGTATTTGTTTGCTAGGGCTGCTGTAACAAAATACCATAAACCAGTAGCTTGAACAGCAGAAATTTAATGTCTCCCAATTCTGGAGGCTAGAAATCTGAACACAAGAAATGATGGCATTGGCAAGTAGCTTCCTTCAAGGTCTGTGAGGAAAGGAGCTGCTCCAGGCCTCTCTTTTTGGCTTGCAGATGGTGTTCTCTTGTTGTCTTCTATGTGTGTCTGTGTCACAATTTCCCCTTTTTATAAGAACACCAGTCATCTTGGTTTAGGGACCCACCCTACTCTAGTATGACCTCATCTTAACTAATTACATCTGCAGTGACCCTGTTTCCAAATAAGGTCACATTCTAGGGTTATTGGAGGTTGGCACTCCAACATAGGAATTTGGGAGGAACACAGTTCAGCCCATAATAGTACACTGCTGTCAAGGTTTCTAATGTCCTCCAAGGCAGAGAGCAAAAGTGTATTTTACTTTTTGTACAAAATGAGAAGACTGAAAGAGAAGTGAAATAATTTTTTTAAGATGGTGGACTCCCCAAGAGCTGAAAATTATACAAAAAGAAGACTACTCCTTTGCTCTACCCACTGAACCAGACATCATCTTCACAGAGTTGTATCTTTGAACCTCATAGTATCCTATTCTGTAGAAATGTAGACTTTTAGTCTTAGAAGGGACCCAGAGAGAGGAAGGTTGCTTCTTACCGTTACCCAAGTAGTAGAAGAACCAGCCTAGAGTGTACACCTCTTCCCACCAGGCTTACATTCCTTCAGCTGTACTGGTGGTTGCCATTGTTGGTTGTTAGTAATTCCTTTTCTTCTGTATTTGAAAAATTACTGTGGCTACTCTAAAAATGAATGTTATCACTGATTTTCTTTTCTTCATGGTGGAAGGCATGTAACGGATGTGTTTGCCTGAATTCCTTTGTTTATTCACAAGTATTTATGTACTCATTCTTATCTCTCATTTTAAAACCTGCCCTGATAAGAACTGGATTTGAGGCACCCTGGATTTTCCCAAATTATTCTTGACTCAGCGCCTACGTCAGAATAATCACAGAAAGATATGAGCACCTTCCACTTTCCTATGAGCTGATTCTTCAGATGAATGAATTTGACTTTGTTCCCAGTCCACATTTGGGGGTGTTGTTGTAGATAAGAAAGGTCCACTTCTGAGGAACTGTTGTTTGTACACATGAACTGCCCATCTGTGCCGTTTTAGTGTTACTGTGTAGAAGAGAGCTGATAATTGAACCTTGAATATGTCCCATAACCCTACATCCGATTAACTCACAATCTTTTGTGTTTTTCCTCCCATTTTAGCAAATTGATGGAGAAGCATTTCTGCTTATGACCCAAACAGACATTGTGAAAATTATGAGCATTAAGTTGGGCCCTGCCCTCAAAATTTTCAATTCGATCCTGATGTTCAAAGCCGCAGAGAAGAACTCCCACAATGAACTTTGAAGATGGTGAATTTTGAGCACCATCAGCTTTCTGCTTTAAAGCTCATGTTTTACTCAAAGCACAAAGACAGCAGTAACTCCTAAGCGAGAAGTCTCCAAAACTCTAAAGAGCAATGCTGTCAGATTATTTATCTTCCTTAAGAGACAATATATACAAATTCTTACGAAAGTGCTTGAGCTTTTAACCAGGTACTGTCTAACAACAGTACAACAGTCGTCTTTCGGTTCTGTTCACTGAGCTAAATTTATCTTTGTAAATCTTTTTGAGGCTGGGGGGTGGGAGGGAAGGGGGACTTCATTAATTATTTATGGAAAAAGCGGGGGTGGGGGAGGGCAGAGTAAGAACTTTTGGCATTTTGTAAACATTGTTGAATTCTCTTTCATGTACACTCTTTCTTTTTCAACACTTTCAGGAACCTTTTTATATAATCAAACTTCAACTTAAACCAAATTTGTGAAAACCTGGCTAACTTTAGCCAGTGGGACTGTTATCTGTCTTGTTAATTCTGTGCCATATTTTGAATTGCAACATTATGCTAAGTATAACTTTGCAAGTCATGATACCGCCTAACTGCTTGTCATAATTTGTTGGGGCTGAATAGTTGTAAAAAATTACCTTTCTTTAAATCAGTGTTTTTACTTTTGCACGCAATTATGAAATGTTAAACAAATTACTTTTCACCAGCATCTTGACTTAATTACCAAAAACGTGTATATAAATAATGGAATTGAAAAATAAAATATATAAACATAAATAAATTAGGTGATGTATTTGAATGACATCAGTCTCATACATCGTGGTGCCCTGTGTGTTTACAGGACTCCAGTGATATCAAAGGAATATGCAGTTATATTGGGGGGCTGTTTGTATGATCTTAAACTATTTATGAGATGATCTTGAGCTTCTAAATGGCATTGAAATAACTGTGGTGCTCTTCAGAGATGAAGGGCGCATTCTATTGATATAAACACTAACCTGGAAAGAGCTCTGTCTCAGACCTTGCAGTGTCCTCCAAACCCAAAGGTTTTCTTTAGGACTGGCTGAAGAGAGAGTGTATAGATTTTACCCAAGAGGCAAGATTTGAGGGAGCAGCCCCAGTCAACACAAAGATTCTAAATGCTCACAGATGAGGGAGGTGACCTTCCCAGAGCAGTTATTCAAGGAGCTCTGTTTTGGAGAGATTCTTTTCTCCTCAGTATAGAAGCATACAGATGCACTTTAAATGAAAGCCCTTGATGACCTATAAACTGATAGCTGGTAGTGTTAACTTTTGCAAGAATGCATCTCCAACGCAAAAGGTAAATTATTTTATCAGCCTATGTATGTAACTTTTAATTCCAGGATTGGATATTTATTTAAGAACTATTTTAAAAGTAGAAAGTAAGTTTGTAGCATGTTGTCTGAATTCTGGGGAAAGGTCCACCTCTTTCCTTAGTTGCTTTCATTTTTTCTCATGTAGGATTCCCTTGATATTCCCCCCTGCATTGGAAGTCTATGAGTGGTCCTTTGCTCTTGTCATACTTCAAGGTAAAACAAGGCCCATGACCCCCCCACTTCATTTCTTTGCATAAATCTGCTTTAAAAAAAGTTTTTTGTTGTTAGTTCTTTTCTCCTTTTTTGTTCAGAATTTGTACATTCAAGTTGCACTTGTTATACCTGACATGAATGAAATAAAATCTTAATTGCAGATACTTTTTTATATATGTATGATTCTTAAGAAACCTTGTCAGATAGGAGGGGTGTATGAGAGCAGGAACAATATCAAACATATGGGCCCTAGATACCTGTGTAATGAATGAATCTGTAGGATTTGGAATTGTCTGTCAAACTATGTCCCAGATGATGTGAAGAGTGACCAAAAGGAAAAACAAATCAATTTTATGGTTACGTCAAGTAGGATTCACACGCATTGAGAACTTTTCCCTTCTAGTTTAAAGCACATATGGTAACAGAGGAGCCTTTTAAATCTTACTGAAAACATCTACTCATTCTAAGAAGCATGTTGTTGTATGTTAGAGGCAAGGCATTAAGCATCCCTATTAGGGTGGAAGAGTCTCCCACAAGAAGAGGAAACCTTTCACCATTCCATCCCTGGGATATAGTCTAAGTATAGTCTAAGTTTTAACAGAGGAAACAGGGAGCCGTGATGACAGGGAGGTCCCTGAAATGAGAGAAGCAAGCTTGGGGTAAGACAAAAGGGAGGGATGGGGAATGTGGAACTTGACAGAACCTTCCCATCTCTAAATGCAATTTTAAAAATTACACTCTACAAGCCAAAGGAGTCCGTCCTGTCTACCGGTTGAAATACTACCCCAGGTTGCTATTTTGCAACTTATAGACTCAGTGGACTCAGCTTCCAAAGAAAATAGGATTAGGCTGGTCAGGAGATACTGAATGTTTGCCAGGTGGCATGGCCATGCTGTCCACTGGAGGCAGATACACCATTGAAAGAGACAATAAAGCTCATGGTCAGCGCATGTCTGAGCCAAACTTCACTGCAGTTACCTTGCAGCTCCACCCCTATCTCTCCGCCCCCGGCCCAAAGGAACAAAGAGAGGCTTTCTTTCAAGGCTAACCTTAAAAAAAAGATGATACAAATGAACTTATTTACAAAACAGAAACAGACTCACAGACTTAGAAAACAAACTTATGGTTACCAAAGGAGAAAGGTGGGGGGAGGGATAAATCGGGAGTTTGGGATTGACATATACACACTGCCATATATAAAATAGATAATCAACAAGGACCTACTGTATAGCACGGGGAACTCTACTCAATATTCTGTAATAACCCAAATGGGAAAAGAAGTTGAAGAAGAATAGATGCATGTATATGTGTAACTGAATCACTTTGAGGTACACCTGAAACTAACACAACATTGTTACAACTGTACTCCAGTATTAAAAAAAAAAAAAAGCCAGCCATAGAGACTGTGGACCTCCAAGGGAAAGGACTCTTTAAGAACTTGGTAAATTCATTTGGGAGAAGAGGAGGAAGATTTTGAAATTTAACAAAAACGGTAGGGGGAAGTGTAAGCTGGGACGAAGTGAGAGAGTGGCATGGACATATATACACTACCAAACGTAAAACAGATATAGCTAGTGGGAAGCAGCCACATAGCGCAGGGAGATCAGCTCTGTGCTTTGTGACCACCTAGAGGGGTGGGATAGGGAAAGTGGGAAGGAGACGCAAGAGGGAGGAGATATGGGGATATATGTATATGTATAGCTGATTCACTTTGTTACAAAGCAGAAACTAACACACCAGTGTAAAGCAATTATACTCCAATAAAGATGGTTTAAAAAAAACACAAAAAACGGGAGTGGGGAGAGAATAATTGGAGGAAATAAAAGAAACTTTTTTTTTGTAAGGAAGTAAAGGCACATTGTAGTGAAAGGGAAGAAATGGAAACTGTAGAATTGGGACTAGTTATTCGAAAATGAAATGTACCAAATTGTTATTGCCTGTCCATTCTCATGTAAGTAGCGAATAGTCATTGCAGAGGTGGGCAGCTGATCTTTCATTTTCTTTTATCTCACTGACTTAAGCATTTTAATGAACAGTTAGAAAGATATTAGTATTTTGCAGTATTTCTAGAGACGTGCTATAAAAATATTTCTTCAGTAATTCATATGAGCCCTTTTCTTATTAAACTTCAAAAAACATTTTATTTGATGAAGTAACCCAGGAAATGTCCATCGCACTGTGGTGCAATATTAGCACACTTAAATTCTTCAGTCTCTAAACCCACCAGTTCTGTCAAAACTAATGTTGAGATTGTGATGATGACAAGGGGCACCTTAAAACTAATGTTGGATGAATTACAACATGGGGCTTTGGGCTGGGTGAGGCACCAGGACTAGGGCTCCTGAGAGAGGCTGGAGAGCCAGTCTAGGAAGGGTCCTAACCTGGAAGCTAGAAGCTGAGGCCCAAGTGGTGCTGGGAGTGAAAAGCAAGATCCTTATCATAGATCAAAACAAGCCCAAGGGGCAACCAGGGCAGATGAGGTCAAGGTGAAGGAAAACCAGAAACCGTGTGGGGAGACAAGAACCAGGCACATCACTGTATCTCAAGGGAGGGAAGCAGAGAAAGATGAAGACGGGTCACAGATGATCAAAACCTGTGCCAGCGAGATTGGCCAGAAATGAGACCTCAGGAATGAAGCAGCCCGGGTTCTCCACAGGTATGAATGAAGGAAACCAAAACACCCCCCAGGGCAGGTCAGCTGAGGGAAAGAGGAACTGGGGAGTGTGAGCATCTTCTTAAAATGCTCAAAATGTTTCCAAGCAATGTTCAGACCAGAGGCAAAACCACAGGCCACAAGTGTGCAGCTCCTGGACATTGTCTATCAAAAGTGGGCACGTTGACTTAAGTGCAAGGTCATATCCTAATCTGAAGGATTTAAGAAAATGTGAAGCGTAGTGTCTTTTAAAAACTAATGCACCCTTGAAAGTGTTAACTTGGACTGGAATTGCTTAGAACTCAAAATAAACATCTCTTTAAGTAGTATTTTATTACAGAATTTCAAGAAAGAAAGTATCGAAGTGTAAAGATAGAAGGCATTGATATTCATTCAAATCCTAGAGACAAGATGATTTTCTAATACCTACCTCTACTAAATCAAAACAATCTTTAATAGTTTCAGCCATCCCAGAGATCAATTCTGATAAAATATTTGGCATGCTATTAAGTGACTGGGTGTTGAAATCCTACTTCCTTTTCCTTTTCTTTCACAGAAGGAAAATATGGACTGTGCGTATCAAAAATCAGTGTCTCTAGGAAGTTGAGGGTTTGGGACAGTCTTCTTGGACACTCGATCCCAAATACATGGAAGGCAGCTATGAGAGTGGCCAAGGCTGTAATACAGTCATCCACCTTTGTGAGTCTCTCTTTTTCTAAATACAAAGAAAATTCACAGACATCCATGTTGAAAGGGTTCTTAACTTCTAACACGGGTGTGGACACTTGCACCTGAAAAAAAAAAAAGATTACAGTAGTCACCACCCCATGATGTGTAAACTAGCTAAATAATACAAGATGCCTCAATCTAACCATGATATTACAATATATGAGCTTTTTGCAATTTAGCATTATTTGTAAATATGACAAAACATAACTTCAAAATAGGCCACCATCCTGCTTCAAATAAATAATCATGTAAAGATATGAAATCTCAAACCAGTGATCATTGAAATACCGCATACCTTCTCATTCACAATGACAAAAAGGCTGGGATCCTCCCCGAAAACATCTGGTAGGAGTAAACAGGTGGCT